GTGCATATTGTCCTTTTAAACCAGGATAAAGGAGAATTGTGACAGCGCATTGGTGATGGTGTTATTACGGATCCCTTTATTGAAGAAATTAAAAACATGCCTTGTGAATGAACATGCATCTCTACTCCTTCCCCCAAACAAACTAATGGACCCTACCCAAATTTGACTTCGGAACACAGCTACAGCTTGTGTTTCAAACAGAGTTTAAGACTCCTATGAATGACGTTGATAACTTATGGTATTTCAAAATATAGATGAGTAAGCTCACCTTTATACTGTTATTCCTGAGGCTATGGGAATAGTTTTCTCAATTTTGCATTTTATAAACAGAACCAACTTTGGTCTCTTGTTTATCTGAAAAATTATGGTACTTTTTTTCCAAAGGAATAATGATGTCTGAAAACTGTATCCATTACATGTAGGAGCTGCATAAAAGTACTGGACAGAACCATAAGCATATAGCAAAAGGACAGATATTCATCCTACATATCCACCTTGAAAATATCCCCCCTCAAAAAACCCAAACCTCCCTCAAATACTGCATCTGACTGCAGTTCTGTTTAATGTTCTCAGGCTTTATTGGCACTGTATTTGCAGATGGGAAGACACAAGGGGAAGACACAGTGGTCACTTGCTGTGTTACTCAGGTGATGTTTTTTGGCTGTGGCTTGTGTGGGTTGGAGCCAGGTTTGGGAGTTGTGGTTGGTATCAGGATCTGTGTGTCCGAAATGTAGAGACCTGGACTGTTGGTGAATGGTTTCTTTGGCATCTTGCAGCAAGATTGCAGTGTTTTGCGTGGCTTTGTCTTAAAATTGTAAGTTTATGAGGGATGTCACTTTGACCATGCTACTCTGGAGATGTTTCTGAACTGTTTATACTTTTCTCCTACGCTCTTCTGAGAGACTTTTCTTCTCTGTGTTACGGTTATACTGAACTTGCGTAGTTTCTGTCAGGTTTTTGATTCTTTCCTTCCCCTCTAAAAAAAGAAATTCGGCGTACTTTCCCATAGAATTTGAGGAATTGTAATAAGAACTGTATTCAGTTTACACCAGGTCTGTCTCCTCCTGTTTGTTCATCCACGTGATACTTTCTTCAGTTCCTCTTTCTTTAGCAGAAAGGAGGTGTAGGAAAGGATTCCTCTTCCCCAGATTACTGATGTTCAGGTAGGATGTGTAATTTAGTTCTGGTGTCCAGTAGCAGTATGGGAGGATATCAGAACTGGTCATCTCAGAGGAAGAGGACGACGATGCTGTGCATTTGGGATTGCTCATATATGGCCTTATATTTAATGTGCTAACAGAAATCTGAAATTAGCCTATTTGTGCAAATGAAATTTCCCAGAACAGAACAGCACAAGATAAAGGAGACTTGGATTGCCAAACAGGCTATTTAATTCCACTGATTTCCAGTTTTCCTTTCTGCATAAATTCTTTTCTGTATAAACGATCCTGTTCTCTGCTCATAGATCAAGTTAAACATGATACTTTTTATTCTAGATGTTTGTGGCAAGACTCTAACTCTTTTATGTCTCAATTTCTTTGCTCTGTTGGAAAAAGGTTTTCTTTGACAGCACATCAAATTTTATTGAAATTCTTGACATTAACTACTGTATTAAGAATAAAATATTGCATCCTATGGTTCTCTCTCTAGTTTATGTGACTATTTTCTTTTGTCTGGGAATTTTACAGACATGTAAGACAGCTGCAGTTGGAAATTTACTGCTGTGTATTGGAAGACAACTATGTATCATTCTTTGCATGTGCTTTTGAACTACTTTGGCTGAGGATGGTGAAGTGATTCTTCAAGCAGTGCTATGTCATTCTGTTATGAGGAACCATTTCAACTGAGGCAGTGTTGTTAAAATGTGTTGACTGTTCAAGATGGTTTGGAATATCTGTGTGGAGTCAGTTCTCATTATGATCCTGCTTAACAGCATTTCAGAGCCTATTTTCTTTCTTTGAAATGGATGATTTAGCTGGAAAGGGATGTACTTCAGTCTTATGAGGTTTTATTGATCTGACATCAGCAGTAATAGTTGTTGGGTGCTTTACATAGCAAATGTAGGCTCTGAAATGTGAGAATGCTTCTAAAGTAAAACAGCATATTGCACAGTGGAGGTAGCAAAAGTAACCAGGCACTCTAATTTGCTTGGCGTACGGCTTCTCCACTTGTTTTTGTGGTTTAGTTTGGGAAAAAGATTGCCTAGAGCTACCTCAGTGATCAGATTGGGCTCTGGCTTTGCTGCTGTCTTGTTGATTGCATTTTATTACAACCACCTAAGCTGCTGCTGAGTCTGGTTGATGTGGGTATGCTGTTTTGCATAGCTCAGATAATAGTGTAAAAACTTCCAGTAATGAAATGGCTGTGCTGTTAAACTCCTTACACGGTAAAATGGAAACTCAAAGTGACATCATTCACTGTACAGAGATAGGAGGGTAAATTTTTCTGAATATTGACTTCCTTTAATATTAAAGAAAACAAGATTTGGACCAGTAGCTTTAAGGTAAAACACTCATGGAAATGATATCAAGATGACTGTAAGCATCGCTTACAAGTGGGAAGACTCTTCCTGTGCTCTCACCAACCCACAAACTTTGTGGATCAAACCCATTCCTACTTTGAAGCATAATGGGGATGGATGTAGTTGGCAGCACATGACTCGAAGGAAAAAGCACTAACTCTAACAAAAACTGGGCTTTCTTGCTAAATTCCTTCTTATGTTCCTTTATGTTCTTTTCCTTGTTTAGTGATTCCTGAATCCTGAAAGCTCTGTCTGTACTAAATAGAAATTAGTAGCTTTAGTAATAGAAGTTATATTTCTAATATAGATTTAAACCACTTCATGGAAGTTGCTTAATTCTTTGTTTGTTGATGCTACTAGGTTAAAGATTAAAGCTGTGCAATCCTTACAGGCTGCAAACTCTTGAACACTTCAATTGTAATTCTGATTGCCATTCTCACTGACAGCTGCTATGCTGAAAGGGAAGGTAAACATGAAAGATGTGATACTGTATCATGGTGTAGGACTGTTTGAATCTGCATTGTGTGCTGTTAGCAGGCAGTAAATCAGCTGTGCTGTGCTAGAGCCAGAAACCAGTAGCTTTCACACTTGCTGCCTGTTTCCCACTCATTGTGAAGCCCTGCCCTATCACTTGATGGACCTGGAAAGGAAGCAGGGAGGAAACGAATGCCACTGTTAGTTCAAAATGTTCCAGTGTGTTTGGAAAGTTTGAGCAACAGCCTGGGTGAGAAGAACAGGACCTTATTGACAGGGTTCAATCCTAGTCAAGTCTGTTGTACGTCAACTTTCTAAGTAGTCACAGCCTGTCTTTTTTCATCTCCTTTCCACTCAGGGTTTCCTACTTTCACCTCCTTTTCATGTATTTTGTTTTATTTGGATGTGTAACTAAGGGGTTTTGTGGAGTTTCCTGATCCACCTCTGCGAAATCCTAAGGGGATTACTATTGAGAGAGACAACTAGATTAAAAACTTCTGCCCTTACTCCCATATTTCTCATATGTTTCTACTGCATATTAGTTTCTCCCCTCAGTGGGATCTTGCTCTATGTGATGGACAGAAGCACATACTATTCCATGTTATTCCATGGCAAACATGGCTTGTCATTCTCCCTAGTCTGACTGTTCTGGTTATGGGTGCTGAAAACTGGCGATCACATGCCTGTCGTACACATAGTAGGCAAAATATGTGTAAGCTGAGTCATGGTTTCAAGATCTTCTAGACTATAGAAGATGATGAAACATTTGCACCATAATGGCATTAATTTTTTTATACTGGAAGTACCCCCCTACCACTGTGCATAAATTTAGGCATGATTTTGCCATTAATCTGATTAGCACTCTTCACTGGTCATTGTGCTGCTTTGGGGCCTCCCAGTGCATCTCAAATTTCTTATTTCACTGCATTATTCCCTTTAGGCTGTCTTGAGATGTGAAAAGTTGGTTTAAGGTGAGAGAGGAGTTCTCTAGAAACATGGCTTAAAACAGAGGGCCAAAGAGAAACTCAACGCATCTCTTACTTTGGTGTCTCTGGCCAGGATCATGTCAAGGCAAACACATGCAATGTAGTTTAAGCATTTGAGCTAAGGTGGTGTTCCATGTTTCTGTGGTATTCCTGAAGCAAGTCAGTTGACTGTGGAATGATCTTACATTATTATTTGTTGTGTTGGTTAGCACTCATTCCAGATGGGTGAGCTTTGTTGGACTTTTGCAGTGTTACATATAAATTTATAAGGATACTGACTTAGTGTATTTGTAATGCTGGCAATAGTGATGTTAGGAAAATCATTTTATTTCAGGAAAACACACACAGTAGCATATGTTCTGAAGTATTTGCTTTGTGGTAGTTTAATAATAAGAGCTTGACAAGGATTTAGGAGGAGAAGGGAAGCCTTCTCAACCCTCAATGATATACAAACTGTAAAGATGGCCTGTATGCTGTAGTATAAATACAGGATGTGCGAGGGATGTTTTTGAAAAACTCAATCAACAGGCAGAATTATTACTGCCTTTAGATTGCTTGCAGAAGGAGTGAGTGCAGCAGAGATGCAAATGAGACGTGGTGCTACAGAAACCTATCGGTCCTGTTAGTATACTAAGTATTCGCCAGTTTTTTTAGAATGCTTTTCCTTCCCTATCTCCAAAATAGTTCAAATTCAATAACTGCGGTTAAGATATTTTGGAGAGATGTCCCTAGACACTTTTGAATCTCTTCCCAAGTTCCATTATGGAGACAGGAGTTCTGAACCAGAGTTTGTAAGCAAGTTATCTTAAAATATACTGTGTCTTAGTCTAAAATTAACCAAAAAGCATCCATAGTATTCTAGGTCAGTGCATAAATCTGGAGAAGTCAAAGCATATGCTTGCTACCCAGTCAACTCATTGCAAAAATGTTTTCTTCCTTTTTTGGGACCATAACCAGTCCAAATCTCCCAGGCCCATTCACCATGTTTCTAACATTTTCCTATATCTTACTCTTCCCAGGATGGATCGTACTTGGCTGAGTTCCTGCTGGAAAAAGGCTATGAGGTGAGTGACTCAGTGACTGACTGCAGGCTGATGGAATCACTTGGATGCTGCAGCTCTAGCTTCCTTTGCTTCTGTCCTTCTCTGTGTATGTTTTCCACTCAACCCTAGATAACAAATCAAAGCTCCAGAGAGGAATGTGCAACATGGCCTGTAATCACGCCAGCTTATTGTACTATTTATCATCTAATGTCCACTGGTGGATTCCCTCTTCTCCTTGGGGTATATCTGCTTAGCGTGTTTCCCGCCAGCTCAGATAAGCAACAACCTGTGCAAGCCAAAACTGTAAGGAATTAAGGAATAATTTATGATGCAGTGTACCACAGAAAGGAATGAGGATCTCTTTTTTTTCACTCTTGACACAAAAGGCCCTCTTCAGCAGTTGTACTTCAATGAAAACGTATTTTCCTTTCTTTCTTTTTAAACAAAAAAACAATCTCAGGCTTTCTGTAGTGTAACTTTCCACTCGCTTCTCCTGGATTAATTATATTTTTACTTATTATACGTTATTTATCTTCTTAAAATAAACAAGATCAGATCCCTTTTCTGCATAACTTTGGCAAAATTATTATATTTTTCTGTGGACCACCAATATAACGATCACATTACTGTGGATTTGTCTGATGGTTCACTAGTCGTGAAAGATGCTTCCAGAAGGTATGAGAGTGGAAGGAAAAGGAAGGAAATTAGTGATCAAATGAAACTATCTGCAGTGCATTTCCTGGCTCAGTAAAAGTTAACTCTCATTCTACAACACTGGCTTATTACTTCTTTTAGAACATTGTTTTATAGCTTGGTAAGAAGTTTCTTCTCATCAGGTTTGCACTTTGCATGCTTTTGCACATGGTTAGTCTTTTTTTTTTCTCACTGCATTCCTTCTACTACTTTGTTGATTGATCTACTTACTGGTGTGGTTTTTCAGTATTGTAAACTGATGAATTTTACAATTTCTTCATTCCACTTGGGGAAAGAGAGTTATTGTGGTTGCTTCTGCTGTCTCACAGGTAAAAGTATGTGTTTCCTACTCCACAATGAAATAGGGAATTGCTAGCTGCAGCTAAAATTAAATATTATGGACTCCATGTGGAAATGCATGGACCCTTTCCATTGCAGAAAGATTGCACAGAATTCTTCCTTTCTGTTCCTCAAATATCCGTGTATTTGGAGTTCTTTACTGTGTTCTTAGCTCGGGACCTCTGTTCCTGAATAATTGAACACTGGGGTAAAAGTGATAATGTCTCTTGTTTTACACTTATTTTCTTTTAATTGCAGTCTACCTAAAGATCAAGTTCTATTGAGGGAAACACCGATCTTTCATTCTTAACTAGATTAACCAATTTGCACGTTTTAGCTTGTTGCAAAGTTTGTTTCACCTGTCCAGTGCACTCAAAGGCATCTTTCATCATTATTTACAGTAATATTGCTATCGTGGATTAAGCATTTGGCAGGCTTGCTTTCTTTTGTATGTGCGTACCAGAAAAAGGAGTGAAAGGCTTTATTTAAAAAGAAAATCAAACCACAAAAAAAAAAACCAACCGTGGAGTTCTGGGTTTTCTTGTTATTGCTGGATGCATGAGGCCCTCTGGCTTTACTTTTGGAAATATTTTGAAGTCTTGTGGTGATTGCATTTAATATATCTCATTGTCAAACATTGGTATCACAGTCATTCAGATGACGCAAAACTCTTGCAAGCATGGTCTCTCATCTTTGAGCTGACAGGGTTTGACTTTTGGTCAATTTTTTTGTGCGGACTTCAATTTCAAGGTGACTTAAGTCACATAATAGAGAGATCAGATGTCTCTCATCAGGCTTTAGGCCAAAATGTCTCATTTTTCTAGAACAATTGTGAAATACTTGTTAGCTTCCTTAACAGTTTTGAAGTATCAAATTCTTCTGAAGTCTTAGCTTGTTCATCTGAACAGCTGTTTCATTTAAGTAACTGAAATATTACCAGCATCACTTGCAGAAGTTATATTATTATGAAGCTGCCATTTTTTGTGTTTCTCTATAAACCATATTTTCCTAGAAAGTGCCATGTTATGTAAATTACTTTAAGGGGGATTTTAACTGTGTTCCTTAAAACTTGCATTTATACATTCTTTAGGACACAGTCATTATGGATGTGTCTAATTTCCCCATTGATCTTCAAAATGTAGATAACTTATTCAGTTATGGAGAGCTCAACATGTGGATGCTAGAACAAGGTATATTATGAGCCTGTAATGTAGCTGGGTGATAGAGATTTTATGCAAGGAAGTTGACACTATAGATTTGTCCAAGTTGTATGGATGAAGCTTTTTGGCTGTAATTACAGACCTTGTTGCCAAAATGTTGTTCATAAAGCTGGTCTCATTCTGATGTGGTATTAAGTTTCAGGCATAAGATGGAATAAAATGTTTTATGTGAAAATAAAATTTTTTTGGCTGTGTAAATAACAATAGCTCATGCTATCTGTGTTAAAAAAAAAAAAGACCTACCATCTTTTCCCACTTCTGTACTCTCAACAACTTAAGTTAGTGTGAATGACAGTGAAGTGGTCCAACTTAACAAGGTGTTGGGTGCATCAAATTGTAAGTGTTCACTTTCAGAAATACAGCACAGTGTGAAAGGGAGGGAAGTCAGATGCTGATTCCACTTGTGCACAGTTCCTGCAGCTGGTAACCTAGGCATACATGAAGTTTGGCAGCAGGCATGGGGCTATCTTACATGAGGAGGAAACAGAATCTGTGTTAGAACAATTTCTCTAATGTATTAGACACAAACAGGCCTTTCTTTTAACATTAGTCAGAGCTGCTGCTTTTTCACCAACTTATTTATCGTGGCTGGTTAGAGGAAATTCCCAACCAGTGTTTCAGACTTAGACTTGCTTGTGTGTCTTGTAACCCAGCTGAGAACATTGACTCACAAGGTACAAAAAATAGGATTGACTGTTCAGTTCGGTCTTCCAAGACACCAGAAAGTGAATAACAGCTGATTTCTAAAGCATCTTTGGGCCTTGCTACTGCTATTCTTTCTTCTGCCCACCTGTCTTTCCTTTCCCTGGTGCTGAATCTTGCTGTTGCTTTTTACATGCCCATCAACTTTGGCCTTGGAAAAGCTCCTCTGTAACCAAATAGCACTAATTATCTTGAGATCCACTAATTGGTTCTCTATTGATGGCTTTCACTCACTAGGACATGTGATGCTCTAGGTCAGTTTAGTGTTTTCTGCACTACATGTAGTACCTGGGCTGCCAGGGTTGTCAACAAGGCAGAATGTGAAAACACTCAAGGCTACTAAAATGACAGCATCAGAGCACATCACAAAGTATTTTGTTATGACTTGGATAATTGTGTGCCTGTAAGAATGGAGACACTGATGGGACTAGGTGCACGTATCTGAAAAAGAGAGGGGATGGTTGTCCTTTGTCTTAAAGCATTAATGTTGAGAGTATTTTAAAAATTAAATCACCTCTTATGTTTACTGTTTCCTTTTGTATTTTTCCATGTTTAATCTCCAGGTTCATGGGATTGTTCGTCGATCTAGTTCTTTTAATACAGGCCGGATTGAGCATCTCTATAAGAACTCACAGGCTCACATTGAAGGAAGTAAGACCTAATTTTTGCATTTAATGCTTTTTTAGTTTCCTTGTTTGGAGGGAAAAAGGTTCTTGGGAGCGGGAAGGGAATCTCAGTTTCCTCTGACTTAAAGATGATGGTTAGTTAATGCAATTAAGCTGTACTTGACTTAGGGTTAGTTATTAAAAAACAAAAACAAATACTCCAAAACTTAACTAAGCTTTCCTTTTCTGTTAGCTGCTGTCTCACAGAAAAACAGTGATTTTACTATGATCAAAGTATGAAAAAGTACAGATATTCTTACATGTTAACAGGAGCGGAAAGTGAAAGGCACAGAAAGGCACTTTCTATTATTCATACTTACTGACATAGTTCTTAAGTCATACAAATCGGCATTGGGGTTTCAGAGTACTCAAATCTTTGGTTTTTTTTTTTTAAGGCAATTATCTATAAAGTTTTTTTACAAGTACATTCTTGATGCAGTTAAATAGGCTTTTACATGACCAACAGTATGAAATCTCATGCTTAATTAGTATTTTTGGATTAATTGCTTTTCTCTTTATTTTGTGACCTCCCCTCGTGTAATCTGTCCCACTTGTATAGGACAAAATATTGTATAGTAAGATGGTCACATGTTGGATGGCATGTTTCTAGAACAGCATGTTTGTATCAAGATGATAAATTCAGATTTAACAGAAGCCTTGTTGCGTGGTCTTTCTAAGAGGAGTAAAATACTGTGAGCTGCTCTGTCACTGGGGATGTTCCGCACTCAGTTTCTTTTTCTTCATGAGCTTCTTAGTGCCTGATGTAGGTGAGGGTCTGGGAACAGCCTATATGACAGTATAAGTAAAATGTAATCAGTTCCTGTTTATGACAGGAAGAATGAATGCTTGGACCTTTAAAGTCTGCATCCATTGAAATGATTGCATATTTTTCCTGAAGGATTTGCTCTTGGGAAGTTACTGGAAACGTTCTGATAATGATTTGTGTTCTTTGCCACTGATGACAATCTGGAAATCTGAAATGATTACATTTTAGTGCCATTTCTTAGTATTTTACTGCAAGGAGATGTTAACTCTTCAGTTAATGAGAAGTAGTAGTGTTGGTTGGTTCCAGTTCAGGAGAAGTTTAGAGGATTGAGCGTTTTGAATGAATGTGTAGTTCTTTACATTGTGTATTTCTAAAGTTGTGCAGAATGAAACAGCCTTAAAGAAACTTGAATGTCGAAGGTGTTACCTCTAAATATTTCCATGCTGTCAGCAAATTTTGTTTTCTGAAGTTTTTTCCACCATAATGAAGCAGAGCCTAACTTTTCTGAACTGTAACACACAATGCAGCTTTCTAGATTTCACTTAATTCTTTGCTTATCTTTCATTTTTGAACAATGAGTGTATTTTCTGTGAGTAGGTTCTGCTTACTGTACGTTTCTACTTAACAATCTTCTTGAAGAATACTCAACCCTATGTTTCCAACGAGGACAACATAAGAACTGTGTCCCATGATGTAAATTTGGCTTACCATGTAAAAGAAGGCAAAAGAGATCAAAAAGGAATCCATATATTATGAGGACAAGATATGAATATGAAAAGCCATTTGAGAAAACATAATCACAGATACGTATACAAGCATTTCAGAATTGGTAAAGGGAAAAAGAAAGACCTTTAAATATTTCACCCTACTTCTTATCTCATTTTCCTTTAACTGAGAAATTGTAGCCATATGAATTGAAGGAGGGAGAATTGATTTGGAATCTCAGGAAAGGCTGCTCCATGGCAACTGGTTTGAAACAATGAGTTTCCAGGCAGTGCTAGAGGAAGCAAAGAAGCAATAGTGATTGGTGTGAACAAAATAAATTTCTATTTGCCTTGTGTTCTTCCCATGAACTGATTACACATTGCAGGATGTAGGTGATCGTCACAGACAGTGAATCTCTTAATCCCCCCAAAGTAAGAAACACAGAAGGAAAAATGTGTTCCTACAAGGAAGTCCTTTAGCTACTGTTTGCCAAGGAGACTTTTTTAGATTGGAAAAACTTCAGTATCAACTAATACTTACCCAAAGGTGTTGGCATTTAATCTGTTTGTGAATATTTGCCCCCAAAAAACTCTGTTTGTAGTAGTTCTTTTCCACTTAGCAGATGACTGCTGAAAGACCTCTTTTTCAAAGACCTGAAAACGTGAACAGTGCCGTGTGTCCCGCTCTCCATCTAAAAAGATTTTTAAAAGAGAAACCTCGATGGTGATGGAAGATCAAAATGGGTGCCATAATGACAGCTTTAAAGTATACATTTAATTATGGCAGAGCATCTCCACTGCTCAACTCAACCCAAGTGGCAGCCCTCCTTTCCCTAGAGTAAGGAAGTTTAAAGACCAGTCTCTGTCTTGGGGATGTTAGCAGAACTGGATGTCTTTGGCATAGGAAAAGGGAGCCTGGCTATGGTACTATTTCCTCTGTTACTCTTTGCCTGTGGAGGAAGTAGTAGCTATTTCAGACGGGTCTTCTAGAAAACTGTCTGGGACCTCCTGTTGTAACAGCATCATCTCCAGAGCATTTTCTCCTGAAGTCTGGCCTGGCAGTCAGGGAGGCTTCATTTAACTTCCAGACGAAGAAGAGCAAGACATGCCTAGGAGGAACTTTTTCTGGTGCAGAAACGGCAGTGAGTTTCAGGCTTGTCCTGAAGAAAGTAGCAACCATCGTCAGAGAAAATGGTGAAGCAGTGCTTGCTAGTTATCTCTTTTAGTGTTGCAAGAAAAATACAGCAGTTCTGAAGGTGATTTGGACGCTGATGATCTTGGGGATTATAGTTTAGCAACAATATCCAAATATTTTTGTTTTACAACTGTTTGGGATCTTGTGCATGCTGTGCTCTGTGATCAGCACTTGTTTTGTGTACCAAATTTCGTAAACACAACTTGCACATCTGAAGAGTGGTTTAAAAATTGTGGTTTCTTGTGATAAACTTTTTTTAGTTTGGGAATTGAAAGGAAAAGACTATCTGTGGATGATGCATCCCCCAAAAGAATGATTATTGTCAAGTGAGAAGACAACTGAATTGAGTAAGGATGTGTTTTATCTTAGAGATGGAGCGGTGTAAACATCAATATATTAAGGACAGTAACATTATCAAATGAAAACTGTTGTAAATATGGCATCTAAATGGGAAATATTGGTGATAGGTGAACAGTTGGACTGGATGATATTAGAGGTCTTTTCCAACCTTGGTGATTCTGTGATTCTAAATGTAACAGCTGTTTCATTAGCATTTGTAACATTTTTTTAATAGATGTGGTTAGCAGTGTGGTGTTCTTAGAAATAAATTAAAATTTGTTTTATTAGAGTGAATTTACCTTTTCAATACCTTATAACAGCTTAGAGTCTGAAACCTATGGTAAGTCAATAAGCCATTGCAGCCTGCTATATTCTGACAGAAACTGGGCTCTTGTTCTTGCCTGCCTTTTTACATGCAAATTAAAACAATTAAATCAGGTAAAGATAAATAACATGCATGACTGATATTTCTGTGAGATTTGTGTAGTATCATGAAACATGTTTTATTGCTAATTGTTTTTTGTATGCTTATTTGTATAGTAACATATAACATATAACAACATATATGTTATTTTATGTGTATGCTTAAGTTATTAAAAATGTCTGCAATAGAAAGATTGGAAGCCTAAACTAAAACAATGCTCTTCTGGGTGGTTTATGGCTGAAATTCAGTTTGTGGCATTGGTCAAATTTATGTAACTTGGCTTAATAAAGTGTAAGTTATTGAGAAAATGCCAAAAAGGTTGCTAGGTAAATCACATTATTAAAAACAATCCGAAATAGTATTTATTATTGTAGTGAAATGTATATTGTGCCTAAAGAGTTAAAAACAAGCATTGTCTTAGCCAGTGTTCTCCATTTTTTCCAAATTCTGTTTATTTGAACTTTAAGCCTGGGATAGAATCTGGATGAAGAATGCTGTATTGGGATTAATATATTAACTATATGTTCTTAAACTCTGAAGACATGAAGCTGCACTATGGTGACCTCACGGACAGCACCTGTCTGGTGAAGATCATTAATGAAGTCAAACCCAATGAGATATACAACCTGGGAGCTCAGAGCCACGTCAAGGTGAGCTGAGAACAATGAATGTGCATTGATGGAGACATAGCAATATCATTTTTTTAACTTGCCACATATAACCATTTTAATAAGTGCTGCCTTTGGGTAAATACTAAATAATTGTGCTTGCTCTGGTGCTGAGATATTGCGTGAGTTTGGAGACTGACTACATAGCAGATATTGGAAATCGGTGAGGTTAAATTCTCATTATCAACAAGATCTCTAGGTCGAGAAATCAATTTTCCCTACTGTTTGTGATGACTTTCTCTGTGCAGCACACTGGAAATCAACCCTGTGGAGAAATTACACACTGTTACATCAGACATTTGATTATAAAAACATTTGTATTAAAGTTCATATATGTGTCATTTACAGAAAGGCTTTGCTTATACTGGTTTTCATGTAGATGGTATTTTTGTCTGACCTATAAATAGAGAAAATGGCTTTGCTATGGCTTATGGCTTTACTAATTTTTTTGTTGGAAAATCAAGCTATAGAAACTGAAACTGAAAGACTTTACCTTGACAAAAAAATGCTGTGTCATACTGGAGCATGTATAATAGAACAGGTAACTTTGTGTTATACATCTATATGTTAAGCTGCATTGCTTTATGTTCAGCTCAATTCACGGGAAGGTGAACTTTGTTTACTTGCCAAAATTTCATTTATACTCCCTGCCATGATTACAAACAAAAACTGATGGCCAAGTAGTAAATTGTTAGCCTTATGCCCTTTCCTCAGTGTGTGCAGTGTGAAAGTATTCCTCAGCAATAGTATTCCCTAGCTTCTCTTGAGGTTAGAACTGAGGGAGTATTTAAGCTTAATGAAAACCAGTTTGGTTTTGTAAATCAGCTTTCCTACAGAAAGCAATCTGCTGCTCCTATCAGTACACAGTTCTATGAAATCATAATGAAAGAGTCCAGCTATTGATAAGGCAGACAAGAGAATATAAAGATAAAATGGGAATAATCTTTCAATTGCTTGTGTGATTGAGTTAGCCAGTGTGCTCTATGCTGTGCATGAGTCTGGTCCAGGTTTTTAGATTGGGTACAGCACTATAAGAACAAGTCTAACGTGGTTCTAAGGGCAGCTCTGGTTCAGAAGGCATTTAAGCTGTTGCTTTGTAGAATTTAACTGGCAAATCATTCCAGGTATTTGCAGACCAAGTTTGGGTGTTTCAGTGCTTCATGTCTTAAACCATTTCAGCAGTTAACAATCTCCATGGAATTGGCTTCTGTCCTCTAGGGACTGGGTCTAGAACCATGCTAACTATCTCTATGTGCTTATTTCATTTGCCAGCAGCTTAAATCACAGCTCTGAGAGGTAAAGTGATGATGATGGTGGTGAGGCTGCAGTAGATTCTTGGATAATACTGACGTGTGCTCTGGGAAAGTTTATTCCTTAGGTATTGAACAACGTTCATGCATTGAGCCTATGCAGATCTGGTGCTGACTCTTAGCTTTTGGAGCTCTAACGTGCCATGGAGCGGGAGACTTAAAGAAGCCATTCTCATAAGCTAGCATGAATGCAGCAGACCAATGCTTAAGCAGTGCTAAGGAGCCCTACTGTACTTAGGTGAAGCCTTGATGGGGGACCTCTTTGAGGAGGTGCTTGTTGTGCTTCCTAGTATCTCCAATAATACTTCTGTTGTTGCAGCTGGGGAAATAACTGAGGTACCCCTAGCCTAATTAAAATGACTGGTGGACTTCACTAGGGTGTTGATAGGACTTAAAATATGTATTAAAAAAAAATCATAGATTTGATGAAGTTGGAAAAGACCTCTAAGATTGTCAAGTCCAACTGTCAATCCATCGCCACCATGTCCACTAAACTATATCCCTAAGTGCCACGTTTGCATGTTTCTAGACAGCCTAACAACATTCACCATTTGAAAACAATTCCCAGCATTAGAAGAGAGGGGTTAGAACTTGGCCTCTTGTTAAGAGTGAAGGACTTTCCCAGAGGACTGAACATTTCTTGCCATTATACTTTGCTGATGTAAATGTACTACTTCTGCCTGTGTGCAACATGTTTGGAGAAGGAAGAAAAAAAGACTTCTAATCTTAGCTTACTTTACATTCTGGTCACTTAGAACCAGTGACGTCTTCAGTATTTTTTGGTGCTGTTTATGTTGGCATGTGTTTATGTAGAATAAAGTTTTTTTAAATCGCTCTCGCTTCCAGTTAGTTTTATGTGAGCCATGCTGAAGTGAAGGAAAACAAAATAATAGGAAGTTGGTCTGGTTTCCTACAGGAAACCAATGAAGATGAAATTGGTTCTTGGAATGAACCCACGGTAGTCTGGGAAATACTGTCAGAGAAGACTTTTTTCTGAATCATAAATAGTGAAGATTATGACTCATAAAATAGGTCACTGGGAGGCTGTTCTAATCTTCTACATGGGAGAAAGTGAGAGAAGGCTCAAACTTAGTCATTAAAAACAGTAAACTTGACAAAATGATATCATCAGTAGGAACAAATTATCCAGTATGCATTCCTGTCTGTTTTGAGGAGAAATAGGGATTAGCTACTCATACTGTAACGTGTGTGTTGGGTGTTTGGAAAACAGTGGCACATTCACTTCAGAGCTACTTTAGCCTCATGTTCTCTATCCAGTCTTTGTGTCTTCCTGCTCTGGCTCTCAGTGCTTTGGGGATACACTGTGTTGTACATAGCTTGTTTTCATTTAAGTTTAATGGGAGAAGTTGTCAGTTTATTGATTCTAAATAATAACAAATTGTGCATAGGTAGTGTGCAGATGACTTAATCTAAATTCGTAGCAAAACTCTACTTGTACCTCTCTCAGTTGAATGCCTTAGAAGTCAATTACTGAAATACTACTTAGACTCTATGTTCCTTTTTGCATAGTGTTTCAGTAGATGCACCCATAGATGGATGTGAACTTGCAACTGTTTTTTTCCACTAAGTAGTGATGGAATCCTTGTCCATGTAAGATTTTTACGTGTTTTACACTGGTGAAGTTTGTAAATATTGTGACAAACCTGAAGCAAAAAGACAGTGGAACATTAGAAAAAGGTCCCTTGCTCTCAGCACTTGAAACTTACCGTACTAAACAGCTACCTATAGGAATGGAAAACAAACTCCGGCTTTATGACTAGTGTTGTTTTAGTAGCCATGTATTAAATAGCATAGTCCAATTGAGCTGTAGTGCAGATAACTACAACTATTCTGTTTACTTTAAATCGTGTGAAGTCTGAGGGATTAACATCCTAGATTTTCCCTTCTTATTGTTAACATTTGTTGCCAAAAATTTTGTAGCAAGTATGTTTTATGATATATGAAAATGAGTTAATTTCTATGTGATGTTGAGAGGTTAGGTCTTAGCTGTATGTAACCATGTTTAAAAAGTCAGTATATGCTGTTTTTTTTACCTGACAAAATGTGTGCAACTTCTTTTTCATTAGTTTACTTTCTATTTATTCCTTGCATGGATTGGTGTCTGCAGAATTTCAACTAACCATGGTAGAATTTGTTTCTTAGAGGTGAGATTTAAGAATCCAGGAGACTTCTAATCCCTCACTTGAGTAAAGGTCTCTTTACACTTAATTGTTTTAGTCAGCTTCATCTCTAGGCCTGCTTTTTTTCCTTATATATTTGTCTTCCTCTACAAAGAGGCCTTTTAGTATCTTCTTTCACCATACAGATGATATAGGCTGGCAAAGGTAAAGAACTTGTGAATTTCTAATTCATTTACTTGCATCAAATACTGACTCGTAGTTGTTATGAACCAAACATCATACCATTAGATTTCAACCCCATACTTATTAATGTGATTCTCTACATGTTGCATGGAAGATGAGTAGCAGCAGGAAGGATTTAAGAAAAAAAAAGACAAAGCAACAAGGTCTTCAGAACCAAGGGAGGGAAATTCCAAACTTAAGTAAAACCCATGCTTGTGTGGACCACTGCTGAAGCCTGAAGTTCTGTAGCTTCTATTATTTGAATTTCATTGTCCCAGCCTGCAGAGATCCTCTGAAGGGATTTACCGTCTGAGATTAGTCAGGCATGGTTTTGTCTTCATAAATCTAACTTCTGATCGCCTTCTTGTCTTTCATATGTTTGAAAATCACTTCCAAATTGTCAGCTCCCAAGAACTTGTGTGTGTACCCATTTTGTTTAAATAATCCCATCCCTGTATCTTCTTCTACCAGAGGTAAATCTTGATTGTTCTAGGCCTTCCATGTGTCCTTAATAGCAGCTTTTACCAGTATAGACAGGTGAATAGGACACAGAATACCTCAGCCATGAGATGTCTTTTGTCACAAAGTCTGTCCTGTTAAGCAGCAGGCCCACATCTTCTCTGGTCATCTTTTTTTTTTATTTAAATTTTTTAATTTTTTGATGCTGATGTAGAAGTTCTTCTCGCTAATTCAAAAAATGTGCTTTGCTTTGCCTACCCCCATACCTGTCTATTTGAATGGTGCCTCTATATTCCTTCTGGGTCACCAGTACTTGTTTCCAGCTCCTATATGTTTGCTTTTTATGCTTTAGTCAGGATCTCATTATTTATCATGTGAGCCTCTTGCAGCCTATGTATGATCTCATACTTCTCAGGATGAATTCTCTTTGAGCATAGAGGAGATTTTTGAATATCATCCAGCTCTTGTGGACCCCTGTTCTCTCAAGATCTGATTTCACTGGTACCCTGCTAAGCAGATCCCTAAACAGTCCAACTCTGCTCTCTCTATCAAAATCTATGATTGTGATCCTGCTTCTTGTCATGCCCATGCCTCTCCTTATCCTGAACATTAGTCTCATGGGCATTGCAACTAAGACTGCTCTGAACACTTCTTCCATGTCTCTAGAAATCAGATCTTTATAGCATTTTTCCTTCTTGTCTATCTGATTACCTGTGTCACATCATCCATGCACTCCAAAAACCTGGATTACATGTGCCCTGCTTTGTTGTTCCTATGGCAGATATATCTCAGTGATAAAATGGAAGGCAGTGAAAGGTTCCCCATGAGGATCAGACCCTATGAATGGGAG